TTTAAAATACCAGAATAGGACATCCAGTTGTATTAAGACTGCCCTTTTCTTCGATATTGAAAAATAAATATTAAAATAATTTATGTAAAAAAATATAAATTATTATTTATTATATTTATATGACTACATAAAATAATATTTAAATATATAAACAAATAAAATTAAAACAAATAAAATTAAAATAATAAAAATACAATTAGAACTATATATTTAAAAGCAGTAAAATAAAAGAAAATATTTAAAATTAGTGACTAAATTATAATAAAATTAAAATTAAATACCTAATTCATAATTAATTATTTAAAATTATAAGGATTAAACATGCTATTTTCCTTATTTATTAATTTAGTGACTAAAATAAAATTATATAAAATTCGAATATCAGAAAATAAATTAAAAATATAAACTCAGGATTAAATATTATTTATTAAAATTAAGGGACTAAATATGTTATTTATCCTAAATATTTATAAATACGTTAAGGGCTAAAATATAATAAATAAAATTTAGAGACCAAATTAAAAGGATTATAAATTTGATTTAGTGACTAAAATGTAAAGATTACATGTTTGGGTGGCTGCGGACGGGATTTAACCTTTAATTAATTACACAAATAGCCCTCCCCGAAACGACGTCGTTTGGGAAGGGCTATTTAATGCCCGAAACCGGCTGGCCCGAAGGGCCAGCTCTCATTTTCTTTCTTCCCTCTCTCTCTCTTCTCTGAGAGAATTCAGAATTCTCTCGCTTCTCTCTAAAACAGAGAGAAGCACACCGGCCGGCAGCCGTTCGCTGGCGTTGACCTCGCCGCCGGCCACCGTATCCGGTGGCCGGGAAAAAAATTTTTTACACCTAAAGATAGATCGGACCATCCTATTGATGGTTCCGATGACCGTTTCCCTTAAAACATTCCCGATCAGAGCAAATCTACAAAAATACCTTCGGTTTTCGAAGGTTTCCGATGACGTGTGAGGGCTTCGGTGATGTTGCAGTAAGTATCTCTCCGTCTTCTCCTTGCTTATTTTTGGGTTTGTGGTTGCTGGTTGTTGTGAGTTGGTCTTTATTTTTGTATCTTTGCTCTCGGGTTTGTTTCTCTGTGGCTGTTGTGGTTGCTTTTTTTTTTTGTTCTCCGTTCTTCCTCTCTCTCCTCTTTTGTTGGCAGGGGGCTCGGTGGCTTTTATAGCCACCACCGGTGATGGCTTCGGACCGGTCCAAAAGGGGTTCTTCGATGAGTCACCGGACTTCCAGTGGTGACTCACCGTTTGGGGGAGACGTGTGCGGTTGGAGTGTCTCTTTTGGAAGCCTTCGACGAGACGTGGTAGCGGTGGAGATGGTGGGAGCAGCTGCGGCGGCCGCGTGGCCCTAGGGTAATCATACCCTAGGGTTTGCATCTGGAGGTGTGTGGGCCGTTGGATCTCTCAGATCCAACGACTGATATGATGAGGCGGCTAGGGTTAGATCAAACCCTAATCTGTTAGGGTTTAGTTGGGCCATCTGAATTTGTAATTAGGCCAGATAATATGGGCATGTTTGTAATTATTTTTTTAATAATAATAATATATATAATAATTATAATAATTATAATTATAATACTAATAAAATGGGTAAAAAATTTAGTATCTTCAATCCTAATTTTCTGTTCAATCTAAACTCGTCCTCGAAGGGGACTGTATTTCATTTATGCCTTCGGTGTAGACGTTACTTGTGTTGCGCTGATTGTGTGCTATCAAATTATGTGCTTTGCCTGTGGACCTTGAACTCTGATATGCACCTCTTTTCTTTTAGTTCTTGTTTATACCTCCATGGTGTGAAATCAAAGGAGAAGAACGAAATTTTGTGTTTTTACAGGAGAATGTATTCGGTTTATCCATCATAGGCTTCTTTGCCAAATTATGAATGCATAAGTTTTATAGTTTCACCCGGGGTATACAATGTAAGCTTGCAGATCAACTTTGGTTGAGCTTGTAATATGCCACGAAACAGTTCTCTCAACACAAATGGCGTCTTCGATAGGAAACTTTCGAAAGTTACGAAATCGTGTTCTAAAGCAGGGAACACATGCTGCCGTGCACGACGTCAATGTCTTGCACAAAACTGGAACTTAAAATGCAATTGATCTTCCATGCCTCGGCTTCTGTGCCTGGAAACATGGATTTACCCTGATTCACCTTGCTCAGAAGGGACATCATTAGTTATTTTTAGCATCTGTGATGTGTATACAAACAATTCTTCGACTCATTTCGAGACATGGCCTGAACTCTGCTATACCTTTCCTACTTTTTCTTGCAGTAACTGATACTGGATTCTTAGACTTCGCTTTTCTGTTGTCCACTATATCTGCTCACAGAAATGTTTGATCTAGTCTTCTGGCTTTGCGGTAATTGGTTACTATGATTATGCAAACGATGTGATGTTTAATGGACCACCTGATAGGGTTGCTTCATTGGTCTTTACAGTTAGGCCAAGATCAAAACCGATCGATTAAATTAATATGATTTATTTTTCTATTTTTATTGAAAATAATGTTTTTGTTTCGAATTTTTAAATCTAATTATAAACTTTAGGTCTTTCTAGATTTACAAACCGAATGTGGTGTGTGTTCCATTTTCCGACATCAAAAGTAAAAAAAAAAAGAAATGAAAAACATGAGGAGTTCATGTGTAATTGTGCTGTTGATCGGACAAATATCAAAACAAAACAAATGAGTTGGATTTCACTGGATTATTCTCTCAATTTTTCATTTACACATCGTTGAAACATAGATTTATAATGTCCCTTATCACATGCCATGTGCTTTTAATTATTATTTTTAACCCTATGGTTTTCACTATCCTATCCACTTCACGAAAATCAACCCAATTTTTTTCTCAAAACAATTAGATTTAAATAAAATAAAACAGATTTATAATTAAATCATAATACGAGATAAACTAATTGATCAAGCATATATATAAACATACTTAAAGACTTAATGGAATCAAAATTATGGGACCCAACTGATAACAAAGTCTAGTCCCCAAAAAGTCACCAATCACCATTGGTTCTCGTGGGTCCCAAAACAACTCATCAATCTGCGCCACTAATTTACATTCTGATTTGTTTTTCTCACAACTGTATAATAGTTATGATATAAGGTTAAAAAAATATGTTATGAAAAATAATAAATTTTTTTTAATATTTTTGGTATAGTGTTACTTAAAATATTATTTTTTTACTGAAAATATTAATTTTTTTACTTAAAATGAATATTTTTGATATTAACATTTCTGGTAGAAAAAATAATATTTTAAATAACGTTCTACCAGAAATGTAAAAAAATATTAACATTTCATATTAGACTGTTTTTCCTAGACATCCTCCAACTATCTATCTTTATACCATATGAGAAATTATTTAATGAATATAGCTCATCACGTTATTTATGATTATAGTTATTGAGAATTATAAATTTTAAAATAAATTTTAAATAACTATTTATTTCTTATTTATATATAAAAATAATATAAACAAATATTATTAATCGAAATCACAAAACACACGACTGAGTAGAACAATCTAATAATTTTTCTCACAATACATCACCAATTCTTCATTGTCTTAGTATTTCCAATGCTTTTACTTACACGTGTTCCTTTCCAATTTATGTCAGAAATTTTGATATTCCAAAATTATATTAAATCTTGATATAAAAAAAAGGACAGGTAGGATCCTAATTGAGGTTGGACCCACATGTCACTTTTCTGAAATTATAATCCACAACCACTTTCCTATCTATCTTTATTTTGCTTTATGTGTATTTACTTTATGAAATGTAACGCATTTATTTATTAATTTATTTTGTTATTGACATGATTTTTATAGGATTAAAATAATACTTTTCTTATTTTATAATTAGATTTAAATAAAATTAGTTTTTTTATTAAACTAATTAATAGCTTCAACTGAATTGAATTAACTTCGTAACTAATTTACAACAACTTCATTTGTGACCAAGTCCACAATACAGATATGGATGACTCTGCATTCATGATGCAAATGGGCCACCAATGGAATAAAAAACATTCTAGGACTGATTTTTGCACAAAATAAAAAAAAAATATTTAAAAAACAGAAAAACGAATATACAAAACCTAGAAATTAGAAAGAAAAAAAAAACAGGCCTTGTTTTTCATTTTTTTTAAATGGAAAAAAAAAGTTTGACTTTTAAAATAAAAGTAAAATAAAATTATACATTTTTAGCATATCATTATCAATCAAAGGTGCACCTGGTGGGTAAGGTATTGTCCGCCATTTACAATCCTGGTCATTTATGCTGAAAATGATTATGTGCGGCAGATTTAATAAAAAATATTATTGGTTTTGTTATTATTTAAATGATAAAATTAATAAAATATTATCGAAAATATTATTATTTAAATAATAACAAAACTAATAATATATTTTTTATTGTATATTAAAGATGTTGCACTGTAAAAATTCTCTATTTATGTTTCTTTTCAGTTTTGTAGGGTAAAGTTAGAGACAATTATTAAATACATATATATATATATATAATATTAAATCTAGAAATATTTAATAAATTATGTCGATGTCTATAATATTTAACATAATTAGTCTATAATTAATAATATCTTTTTAAGTGAGTTTTAAAATTTAAATATTTTTAGTTTATTTATTTATTTTATATAGTTTATTTCAATTAATTAAATTGATTCAAAGTGTAAATGTATATATAGTATACTAAAGCTATTGTTATCTCAGTTAAAAGTGAGTCACCAAAATTTCATTAATACTACTACAATTATTTAAAATTTAAAAATTGGTGACTTAATTAACATCAAAGTATATTAATAGCTTAATTTCAATCCACTCTGTAATTTAGTGATTAGATTGATAGTTTGTCCAAATAAAAATACCGAGGAGCAACGAAGACAATCGAGGCGGTTGAGACGGTTTAAATAAGAAATGAGTCGAACAAGATAGAAAAGCTTTCACATGGCAGATCCGAGTAAACTCTTACAACTTAAAATTTTTGTCCTAAAAATTTAGTAGTTGGCTAGAATCTGTTGGGTTCCGACATCCCCTCCCAACTCAAAAAACCCAACTTTCTATTCTCAATATCTGAAACACTACATCACCCTGATCTTCATTCTCTTACAAGCTGCAATCTTTCTTTGTCGAACCGACAGTTTTCGAGAAATGAAAAACACCCACATGTTAAAACTCCTCCTTTTATTATCATCATTAGCTTTCTTGTTCATTCTCCTGCTCGTCGTCTTCTTCTGTCGGAAGAGGGCGGCGAGAAACGACCAGCTTGGTGACGTGGAAAACAAAGAGCAGCAGAAACGTGATGGTGACGGTGAAGAAGAAGATGAGTCAGAAATGGAGGATATGATCACTTTCAGCGGCGGAGAAGACCTCACAATAGGCGACATTCTCGACGCTCCCGGTGAAGTGATCGGGAAATCCAACTACGGCACCTTGTATAAGGCCCTGTTGCAGAGGAGCAGCTTGGTCCGATTGCTTCGGTTTTTGAGGCCGGTGTGTGCCTTGAGAGGCGGAGAATTTTCCGATGTGGTTCAGCTGTTGGCGTGCATCAGACATCCCAATTTGGTTCCTCTTCTGGGATTTTATGCTGGCCCTCGAGGAGAGAAGCTTCTTGTTCATCCTTTCTACTGGCATGGCAATTTGTCTCAGTTAATCAGAGGTATGATTTTGTTATGAAAATTGTTAAAGTTTTGTCCATAAGTTTTTGTCATTCAGCTTCATTTCCCAGACTTTTTTTATGCAAAGAAAAGGTCAAACATTTATTGATTGTGGGTTAGATTTGTTTTGTGTGTCAAAATTTCTCCCTTTGCTTCATAATTTGATCTGTCGGCACCTACCTCTGTCCTTTTCCCACTGGTTTGAGTTTTATGGCTGTGTTTTCATCTTGTGGATCAACACCCAAAATCACATCTTTTTCTCTTTAATTTCTCATATGAATATGCAATTAAAAGTTAGAATCTTGTTTTTGTTTGATGACTTTGAATGGACTGTTTCATTTGAGCAGATGGGAGTGTGGAGTCTCGTAGATGGGCAGTAATTTACAATATTTCCATCGGTATGGCCAGAGGATTAGATCATCTACATACTGGGTTGCAGAAGCCAATAGTCCATGGAAATCTCAAGTCGAAAAACGTTCTTTTAAACCGAAATTACGAGCCGTATCTTTCGGATTTTGGTATATACTTGCTCTTGAATCCTACTGCTGGTCAAGAAATACTTGAAGCTTCAGCAGTTGAAGGGTATAAAGCTCCTGAGCTAATCAAAATGAGGGATGCAAGTATGGAGACTGATGTATACAGTCTTGGTGTGATCTTTCTCGAACTACTTTCGGGTAAGGAACCGATAAACGAAAAGCCGACACCCGATGAGGATTTCTATCTGCCAAACTTCATGAGGAATGCTGTTCTTGATCATAGAATCAGTGATCTGTATCATCCGGATTTACTTCTAAGGGACAACTATGATAAGGGAAATCCTGTTACAGAAGAATCCATTCTTAAGTTCTTTCAGCTTGCCATGGCTTGTTGTTCTCCTTCACCTTCTCTTAGACCGAATATCAGGCAAGTGCTCGTGAAGCTCGAAGCAATCGGGAAGTAGGAACCAGTGCATTTTGTAGAAGCATGAGTCAACAATGGTGATCTTTCAAGCATCAAAGGAGGATTGTAGGAAAACCGAATTTCCTTGTCATCCAATCCGGTTCATTTACGAGGCACAAAGGCAACGAAATCCGAAATATTTTTCTGCCGGTCGACGTGCTGCTGAGACCGAGCGCGTACCGGAATAAAGCTAGGGCATGCTTATCAGCTACCATAGGTGATTTCTGGTCGTTCTGTGCGGGTAAGTTTCCTACCATATTCCCAGAATTTGTGATTGTTTGGTGGCTTGTTCATTCTTTGCTTTCTTGAACAGCAGCACCGTTGTCATTGTTATAGTTGATTTTATTTTGCCTTTGAAGAAAAAGAAAAAAAAGCATGCTCCCAATGAACTCAAAATCATGGTAAATCCTTAATTGTATATTCAACTAGCTTTATAGGTCAATTTATTACATTCAATCAAATCTCTGTTGAATATTTGTGTGCGTTGTAGTGTTCCAATCGTTTAAATGACAGGTGAGAATGATATATCCTAACTGGTAAGAAACTAAATAACTAATCATTTACTCATATAATTGACTTTATATTATATATATATATGTTGGACTTTGATGGGAAGACCCACTTTTTTCATTTCCATCTAAAGCTTGACAATTGATATCCATTGCAACATGAGTGCCTCAATCACCGTTAACATTGTCTCGAGCTTCTCTCGCCTTACGGGTCTCGAGTTTCTCTCGTTGTACGGGTGGAGATGTCTCATTTAGAGGCATCCAATGATGTCGAAAACTTTAGGCAATGGCTAAAGTTGTAACATAGGGATAAGCATCGTCACATTCAAATGTCGTGCAACCCTCGATGTCGATGCAACCAGGAGCAAAGTCATGGAGCAATGTGGAAGTTTTGTCTTTGAAACTGTAGGCAATGGCCTTACCGGGTATGTGCAACACGATGAATGACGATGGCGATCGCCCTGGTTTGCTTTCTTTGCGAACAACAATGGCTAGCACTCTAAATGCATGATAATCCCAGTCTGATGGGTGAGAGTGGCTTCGGGTCATCTCTGGATATGTTGATATAAGTGCATTGAGGTCGACTTGATACTTCGCAAACCACCCAGAAAAGTCGTTTTTCATCTCGTAAACGTCGAACTGCCTAGTACTATGCTTGCAACTTGTTAAGATGAGATGCAGACGACCTCCGGATTCCCCGAAGTATCTGCACTTGGGCTGTTGGTCCGAATCATTTGGAATATTAGGCAATGGAATCTCTCGAAATCTCTCCTGATGAACATCGAAACATAGCAAGGACCTGGAGTTGTTCATGATCCAATGAACAGCACCGCAACAATAGACCCCTTGACCGAAATTTTTAACCTTTGGAATATCGCTTGAGAAGCTCCAAAGATGAGTTTCAGATGAGTATATCTCCAACCGATAAAGATGAGAAGATGTCTCTGAACTTCGAACAAAAACGACTTTGTAATGTTCTGATTTCGAGGGATCAAAAGCTAAAATAACACCGAAAATAGTGTTTGGGCTTGGAGTTCTGTTACCTGGCTTGGGGAGGGTAGTGTATTGGTTGGTTGTAGGATTGTAAATGTAGTAGTTCCGGTCATATTCTCCGATCCGGTTGTTGCTACAGCACAATAACAAGCCATTGCAGGATTGGAGAAGCTTAATGCCTGCAGGGTCATCAACGAAAGTGAAAGATGTAATTGTTGACCCGCTAACCGGATTCGTATCGAGTGAAAGGAAGTGATACTTGGGCTTGTTTCTCATCCTCAAGAAGATGGCGGATGGAAATATTGAGCTTTGGTTAAGGCAACGAGTGAAGTAGGGGCTAGAAATTAGAGAAAACCACTGCTTCGATACGTTTCGGAATCTCAGGAGAGATTTTCCGGGGAGACGAACGAGAATGTTTATGAGAATATCATCGTTGTAACCTATCAACTCGGCTGATCCGGAGCTCGAGTTCAAAAACTCTAGTTCTCCCATGGGGATGATTTTTGTATACAGTCTGTTGAGGTAGATACTGAATTCCTGGCAAAACTACTCCTTCCTTCCCCCTTTATATGAGCTGGATCCTTGTGTTATTTAGAAGATGAATACGAGAAAAGTCTTTGCAAATTGTTCTGCAATTTCCAAGCAATTCTTGGAAGATTTCATAGCAGCTTGGTTTGTTCCTTTTCAAAAAGGAAAACTCAGCATTCATGCATCAGCAACTTTGATTCTTTGACCATTAGATTCTTGCACGAAAAACAATTCAGCATTAGATCAGAATTTTAAAAGCAGTATTTGACTTCAAATCTGAAATTCTTGTGCGGTTTCATGCCAAGAAACTTTGAAATTTCAGCACAAAGTTTTACTAATCAAACCCATTTACATTTTTTTCCATGAATGGATTCACATCAAACACTGAGAAAAAAACATGTAGCAGAAAACAACTTGTGAGAATTTTCCAACATGAAGATAAGTCATACACAAGCAAAGCTTTCAATGAATTGATGAGCATCAGAACATCCAAACTCCAATGAATTATTGCCCACAAGAGCGAAATCATGAAGCTTCCTAAAACTATTGTCCTTGAAATTAAACCTTATTGCTTTGCCAGGCAAATGCAGCACCATGAATGATCCCTCGTCTGATTCTTCACGAACGACGCAGAGTATTGAAAACGCATAAAACCGCAAGTCTGTTGGATCGACATATCCCCGAACCGTCTCCGGAAAAGCTGCCACGACCGGATTTAGATCGACTCGGTATTCACGAACCAACCGGAGTTGTCTCTCTCCATCTCGAATACGTCAAAGAGTAAATTGTCCGAACCATAAATTTCAACAAGATGCAAATGGCCTCCGGATTCTCCCAAGTACCGGTGCGACCTTACGTCTCCGGTGACGACGGAGGGCATCGGGATATCTCTCATTTTCTCTTCTTCAACGTCGAAACCCAGAGAATCTCCCCAGTCACTAAGCCAGCAAATAGCACCATTCCAGAAAACGCCATTCTTGAAATGCACGTTCCTTGGTGCTACAAAAAGACGACCCGAAGGCCTCCAGGGGCCAGTTTCCGGCGAGTAAATCTCTACCCGGCAATGATCAGGCAAATCAGGGTCTGGATTCGTAATGCAAATTACTTTGTAATGAGGTGATTTTGAAGGATCAAAAGCTAAACAGACACCAAAAGCGTTGTTCCTGTAAAAACCATGTGTTGGACATGGAAGCACCGTGTAATGCTTCGTAGTAGGATTGTAAATGTAATTGGTTGTCTCCAGAGGATTGGCACGAAAGCTACAACAAAGCAACAAGCCATTACAAGATTGCAGAATTTTGATCCCTGATGCGTCGTTAACAAAAGTGAGGGACCGGAAGGGAGCACGAGAGGGACGGTGACCAAGGTTGACCATGTCGTATTTCGGATTGGTTCGACCAGAAATACGTCGTATAAAGAGACCTGAAACGGCGGTGGAATCGTGTTTGGGACGAAACCTGGGATCGGTGATGAGAGAAAGCCAGTGTTTGGAGACTGTCTTGAATTTGAGAAGGGATTTTAGAGGCAGACAGTGAAGGATTAGAGTTAAGATATCGTCATTGCTGACTATCGTATCGGCTGATGAAGAAGATGAAATTAGGTAAGCATTTGAAGAGGATGCTTTTGTTTTCTTGGTGGGAAGCATCTTTGGTTGTGAAATTCTTGAGCTTCTGCAGTTTGGGTTTTATTGACCCTGGGAAGATTGCGATGCAAGATGAATGAAGACGAGTCCTTAGCACGCTTGAGAGTTGACGTTTTGGAATCGGCCCTGCATTGTAATTTGGCTTCCAAAATAAGTCTCAAAACTATTTTTTTTTAACTCATCCAAAACGCTACAAATATTATTTATTTAAATGTTCGAGCCATTAATGACTTTAATTTTTCCGTTAAGACACATATCATAATCGGGTGCTTTTAAAAATTTTATTTAAAATTAAAATTATATATATTTTTAAATAAAAATATATATTTTTAAATAACCTCAAAACTTTGAAAACCTTCATTTCAACCCCTAAACCAACGCCAACCATCACCCTTTGCCGTTGATAAAACTCCACCCGACCTCATCTCCCCTCAACAACCAAAACCCCCCATGAAATCATGATCGATCAATAGTCAATCGATGATGAATCGACATTTTATACCCTGAAAACCCTAGGATGAAAATCGTAATCTCAAGTGATCTATACGACCAATCGACCGCAACTACAACGGTGTATAACTAGGAGGATGACAGAGACTACGTCGACGACGGTGGTCGAAGCCGAAAATGGGGGCGACGACGAGTTAAGGATAGGATTTTAGGTATTTAGGGTCTTTTTTATAATTTATGAGAAATTAGATTTTTTTATAAATATAATAATATTTTTAAAAAGATAAATTTCAAAATCACCAAATTGTGACATGTGTCACTTAACGGGGGGAATTAACTTCGTTGACGTCTCATGCAACTAAATGGGTAACGTTTGTAGCATTAGACAGCTGAATATGTCAAAAAATAACTTATGCACCTATTCAGAACTTTAGCTATAGTTTGGACAATTATTTTAATATTAAGCCTTATAATTTTATTAGAAAAATACTGATTCAACATGTGTATATAATCTAAATAATGATATTAGTCTAATATTAACATTCAAGGGATTTGGCCTCGTGCTTAGGCGATAAGCCTTTCTCCCTATGGACTCAAGTTTGAATTTTATACTTGCCATCATATGTTGGGTTTCTCTCTTTTCTTAAATCAATTAGATAGTATCATTTGATAAGTTGCTATTAATTTAATAAAAATAATTATTTATTATTAATTAATTTTAAAATATTTTTTATTTACGTGACATCACACGTAGATATATCACATCAGTATTTTAGTCTACATAGACCTATCACGTCAACATCTACTATGACCTAGATAAGTCACGTTTGTATCTCCCTCTACATGTTTTTGCTGAGAAACTCACAACTTTAAACGTTAATTAACTAATGATTTTCATCCAATGAAGGGAATTTTTTAACCAAAATGAAACATTGAGAGTAATATGCTCCCAAAAAAATTAGGACCAAATTGACACTATTGTCAAATGTTATGAGTGTTTTATTGAATTATACCTTAAAAATAATACATTAATTATTTTATTGTATGAAGATTAGATTTGATGTTTATGATTGAATGATTATTTTATTATAAATCAATAATATTACTTATAATATTATTATGGAAATAAAATGGTATAATATCAAAAATACTTTTAATGTTTTATTGCATAATAATTTAATATTTTTAAAAAATATTTTAATTTCTAACGTTTTATTTTGGAGTAAAATGATCTCTAATTGAATGAAAATTATTAATTAAATAATAGTTAATATTTGTCTTTCACATAATGAATCTTACTTTACATGTCTAAAGTGATGACATAATAAATATCATATGCACATAAATGATGACATATCATATATTTAAAATAATGATATGATACATATTATGTATATATAAATGATGACATGATATATATTACGTACACATAAATAAAGACATGAAACATTATATATTCAAATCGATAAAATGTAAATGTAAAATGTCACATGTTCATGAATAATGATATAAAATATAACACGTTATTAATTTAAGTATATAAAACTTATCACCTGAACGTTAAATATTGATTATTAGTGGATGGTCACTCACCCAACTTGAATGGACATGCAAAACAGATGATGGCCTCTTTATTGTAGTGGATGCATGAAAAGATCAAATCAAAGGATAATGAAATATAACGACGGTAGTATGTTTGAATCAAAGATCAAATCAAAGGATAATGAAATATAAGGACGGTAGTATGTTTACTATCTCATCCAGATGAAGTTATGCAATACGACAGTCTAATATACGGTTAAAGAAATATATTATTGAAAATGTTATTTTTTTAATATTTTCGATAAAAATTTACCGAAAATATTATTATTTCTACTAAAAATATTATTATTAGACGCTTTATCGGATTTGTTAATATATCTGATAAAGCGCTACCTAAAACATTATTTTTTATACTGAAAATGTTAATATTAGATACTTTACTGAAAATATTAAAAAAAATATTAATATTTTTGATAAAAAATAATTTAAGTAATTTTTTACCGAAAATATTAAAAAAAATAATAACAAAGTGTTGAGAGTGCCTTAAGAAAAATAGTGGGATGATTTATGTAACACATTAAAGTTAAGGAAAAGCAGAAGTTGAGAAGGAAAATGGGAAATTTATAGTGGGGGCTTTCACTTTGCTTGAATGCAATTCCTCATAAGGTTAGTGGGGTTGATAGCTACATAATTAGGCCCAACACTAAGGATCGTATGACTCGGTAATAAAATCGAAAAAATTAAAAAATCGATTAGAATTAAATTATTTGATTAGGATTTTTTAATTTCTGATTCGGTTTCGGTTTGATTTCAAAATATAAATATGTAATTCTGTTCGGTTTCAATTTTTTTCCAAATAGGAATTGCTTGAATCGAATTAAATTGAATTAAAAAAATAAAATATAATAAGTATCCAAAACACAATCATTTTGAATTTATTATAAGAAAATTTTAAATAAATAAAATATCAAAACTAATAATTCTTTTATAAATTTAAATTTATATATTTGCACTCGATTTAAGTTTTAAATTTGCTTCTTTTTATTTGTTGAATTTGAAAAAATAATGAACAATCAAAAACCGTTGAACTGAACCAAACCGAAAATCGTGGTTTTTATCTCATTTAGTTTCGGTTCCCATTTTTAAAAACTCAAAAAGTACAACTCAATTCATATTTTAATAAAAAAAAACCGAACCGAATACACTCCTAGAGAATCAATCTCTTGGGTAATCCCATTCGTTTGGACATTTAAGGACTAACTACCAAAAACATTAAAATCTAAATCGAAAAAATTCAAGTACCAAAATGTTGCTTTCGAAAAATCAAATATCTATTCTTTTTGTTGTCCTCTCGGTTTCAAGACTTCCTCTTGATCAATCTAGATCAACCCACACATAACTTTGGTAGCTGAGTCTCCCAGCTGAGATTTTCTACATACACAAGGACCCAAACTTAAGATCTTGTTTAAACGATATTAAACTGCTTACCACTTGAAACAACCCCTATTGGTAATCAAATATCTATTTTCAGATTTTTTAATTTTCAAATTAAATATTTAAATTCGAAAATAAAATTTAATTTGATCAAAATTTAAAACTTAAAATTTTTATTATGCAAGTTTATGCAACATCTTCTGTTCCTCTGCTATATATATATATATATATAAGATCCTAAATTTTATTTAGTCTTAGTAGGTTAGTGCATACTCACTTATTAGGTTAAAGACCGTCTAAACTCTGAAAGTTCGATTTTTAATCAAATTTTCGGATAATTTAAAAGTAGAATTTAGATAATCCGTATTCGATCCAATTATCCACTTTTTTTTAGATATCTTATCCAAATTATCCAAAAATTAAAAACATATCAAATATCAGATTTTTTTTTATCAAATTAACTTTTTACACGCCCCTAATAATTCTCACAACATAAACATGTATTTGTTGAGATTGTTGGTCATACTCCACTACTTTTATTCCTTACCTTCCAAGTCTAATTATAATCATCAACAAATCGTTGCTTGTTTCATTACTTTCTTCTATTACCATAACACATTGTTGGAATAGGAGATTGTGTTTCCATTGCATCTCATAATTTTAATACGCATCCTATTTGTGTTTTAGATTTCAAAGCATATAAATAATTTGGAAAAACAACTTATTTAGCCAGCTAATTGTTCGAGCGGTTCTGATATGGTCAATTATTTTTTGTTTTAAAATCATGCCTGACGTTACATTTTAATTTTGATCGTCCACCGCTAAAAAATTAACAAAATTATTGACGTGATTTATTTTTATTTTTCAACAATGACGTGAAATTACCTTATGATGACACATCAACATCACCGTTAATTTTTTAACGACAGACGACCCAAATATGACATTAGATATAATTATAAAAAGAAAATAATTGAATGACCAAAATAGAATTATCCAAATAGTTGGATGACTAAATACATAATTTATCATAAATAATTTGTATAAAAAATACGGTATACGAAAATCATTCACGCATCGAGAACAATAATTTCAACTTTATCCATTTAAGCTAGAGAATAAAAGAAAATACAGGAGTCAGCCAAGACAGGCAAAGGCAAGAGATAAATGTGTAACATGGTCGGACTTGGGGGTTGGTAGTGTTTGGTCATTTTAAATTTGTAAAATTATATACAAGTCCCTTTAAATATTTTTTAAATTTTAAATTAATATTATATGATAATATTAATATTACATTTGGTAAAATTACGTATTTTGACACCTTAAATTTCAAAATTTTCCTATTGGTAGGCTCTCTCGCCACGCCTTCATATGTTTCCTTCGCTTTCGGGTTTTCCTTTTTCAACTTTTTTTTAAATAAATACTCCAATATTTTTTCTTTCTTCTCTCTTCTTAACTCCAACTAACTCTCACTTCTCTCGTTCTCATCTGATTTTTTTTCCTCGCGCTTTCTCTCTCTTTCCTCAATTTTTTTTTCTCTCGAGAATCTTCGAATGCGTGATTTTCTGTTGCTCCTC